CAAAATAATAAACCTGCTGGTTACAAAGCGCTTCCTTCCCCTCAGCCCAAACCCCATTCTCCCCAACGCACATCAAACGAGTCGTCTAAAAACAATACGTCTTTTTTTTATTGTTAAGTCAATAAAGAGGTATCAAAATTAAAAGAGGAAAAAATTACAAGGGATGGAACGGAACTAGAGGAGCCGATGAAAGGAAGGAGGCGGGAAGGAGGAGGAGGAGGAGGAGGGCAGATGCAACAGAAGACACGACATCCGCAAAACACACAGGGCTGCGAGAGGGAAGGAGGGCAGTGAGGAAGCAGCCAGCAAATGGGGGGGAGAGGAGACAGGGGGAGGGGGCATTTCAATCAGAAGAACGCCGCGTGGGGCCAAGGAGCAGAGAAGGAGAGCTATGCCGGGGGGGTTCTTAGGAGTCGTCTTCGCCATTGGCACTGTCTCTGTCGTCTTCCCCTTCTTCCGGCTCCTTGTCGTCGCCCTTGATGGACTCCAACTGAGAGAGAGAAGGGGACAGGCAGAAGAGCCGAGTTAGCGAACCGGGAGAGCCGCCATCCTCACTCCAGGCTCTCTGCTTCCTCCAGCTTCGTACCTGGTCGTCTCCCCGGTCTTCGTTGTCGTCGTCGTCCAGCAGGTCCCCTTCCTCGGCAGAGTCGTCGGCCCCAGCCTCAGACTCCAGCTTCACATTGCTCTCTTCTTTCTTAGTCGAGCTGCTGCTTTGCTCTTCCTCCGACTTGTCGTTCTTCAGTTCTAGGGGAGGGAAAGAGGGAGAGACGGGAGGGGGCGGCAGAGAATCAGAACGCTGGACGGATTTGGCTTCACCACCATTTGGGCCCCCTGCCTCTTATTTCCTAGCAGGGGGCTCTCTACATGGGGCTCCCCTTGAGGAGCACCCGGAGGCTCCAGCTAGTCCAAAATGCGGCCGCGCGGGCGGTGTTGGGAGGGACTCGTCGCTCCCATGTAACACCGCTGCTGCGCGAGCTGCATTGGCTGCCGGTGGCCTTCCGGGTGCGCTTCAAGGTGCTGACCATCATCTTTAAAGCGCTCCATGGCATCGGAC